AATGGTGGTCCGAGTAGATCATGTTGTGCGGGGTCGACAACCCTCACTCCGCGCAAGGGAATGATCGCACCACGTTGTGTTGAAATGTTCAAGCGTCCTCGAGGCAGTTACAAAGTGCTTATAACTGTCTCTTGAAGTGAACGCACCAGAAAGTAAATTAAGTCATACGCAGCAGTCATCCGTACGCAAGGAAGTAAGCACAAGATGCCGAACACCCTTAGCAGGATGCAGCGCACCCTTCATGCGACTCGCCGAATATCTCACNCCCCCTTCCCCCCCCCCCGAATCATAGCGTATACAGGATGTGCACAGCAAGGTAGATCACTACCATAGCCCTTTTCCAGATGGCGTTTCCACTGAAGAGGAGTTACTATGCTGCCCGAGGCTTTTTCACCCTCGTTGCGGAGAAGGGCAGGGATTACTACGGCTGTGTGTGCAGTGTGCATAGCGTGGAGTGGAGTTGATGTCCTTAGTTTCTGTATTATTTCGGGGGTCTTGTAATGGTCAGCTAGCGGTCAATGTCTGCGGCTGCTGTTGATTGCGTCCAGGGTAACGCAACAGATACAGTTACCGTCGCGCCGCTGTCAAGGTTCTGGCTGTGGTCGAGGGAATGACAGATGAATCGATCGGCCCTGAGCTTCATGGGAGCTGGGCGCAGAGAGGGCGGAGGCTGAATTGTAATCCGCTCCCTATGTACTGGCCACTAACCTCTTGATGAATTCTCGAGAGTGGGTTGATTGAAGAGTTCTGGACCTCGTTCACATCAAGGGGATCGGCAGTCCACGGACCAAAACAAAACCGCTAAAGCAGATGCGAAGTGTAGACGCCTACATTAAAACATGTGCTACATGTGTGAAAGTCGCTATTGGCCTACCCCCCCTCCCCCAGCCCCCCCCGGTGTTTGCCATCGTGGTTGGGTTTTCGTCGCTTGGCAACGACGTTGTAAAACAAGCCAATTCACTTCGTGAACTCGGCAACCAGGTTACCGTTTTTTTTTTTTACATCCGGTTTTTTTTTGGCGGTAACCATAATGGTGGTCGAGTAGATCATGTTGTGCGGGGTGGAGAACCCTCACTCCGCGCAAGGGGGATGATCGCACCACGTTGTGTTAGAATGGTCGAGCGCCCTCGAGGCAGTTGC